ATAATCCTAATCTCAATGAGACATTGGCAAAGTTTACATCTGAAAAGAAGAGCAACAACAAAGAGATTCATAGAAAGACTAGTGGAAAAGGGGTTTGTACACGAAAGGTGTGCTCTATGCCAACGTGGTTTGAGAGCTGGGAGCGTGACGACACATACGCAGCTCTTGCTGTTATTTGTGCTGCTGTATCAGTTGCCTTTGCCTATAACTGCTATAAACAGTTGAGGTAAATGCTTAGAGAATTCGAACTTTGTGTTGTGTTGATGCTACGGCAGGATGCAGAACTTTGCCCTTCTGTCTCCTATGTGTTCAAGATATGAATATTGCAGCATACTGTAATGCATCACTAGAAATATCTTTCTTCAAATATGAAGGGCAAAAGACAGGAATCCTTAAGAAATCAGAAGAAAAATGTTTGGGAAGGTGAGTTTTGGTGCTTCATTTCTTTGCTGCTTCCCTTGATGCTTGATGTATAGATTTGGATTTTGTAGTATGTGTGAATCTCCCCAATATCTCGTAGTTATATGAAGAATGTTTGCATTTTCTCGTACAAGAGAATGCTTCATATTATTCTCTAATCTGAATCAAAATAATGAACAGACTCTCTTGTATGGCCTTAAAAACTCCAAGTACCTACAACTTAGGGAGGTGGAGGAAGTGAGTGTGGAAGGCAACTAAAGACAGGTTGACGCCAATTTGTCCAATGGCTACCCCTGTGAATGCTACAATGGCGATGGACCCCACGATCAAGTGGCAGCTGTGATGGATCCAACCTATATGTCAGGCAGGTCTTGCCTTAAAAAAGGCCTTTGGAAGAGAACCATAAATCATAAATGTAAATCTATAGTGAAAAAGCTGCGTTACAATAAGCCAAAAAATATACGTGTAAAACTTATACTTCCTCTCATTTCAAGGTTAAGATCGTGCACTCATAGGTGGTAATGTCAAAGCTAAAACTTGATCTTTTTCCTACTAAGCATGCATTGAGGCAGCGCGCAAGCCATTGAAATTACATTCCTAATTTAACCGCATGGTTTGCTCAATGGCTGTTATGGAGGTAATTGGCCACCAAGACATTTTCATATCAGCTTCACGTATGTTTATTTCCTTTCATTCTTCTTCAATCAATGCTTATATTAACGTTATCAGGCGAGTTGGAAAGCCCATTCTGAATTCCAAGCCTCTGAAACTCAGATTGTAATGTTTCAGCTATCTTAGCATCGGCTGGGTTTGGCTCAGGGAAATCCACATGGAATGACCCCTGTTTTATTGGTGTAGTGGGTTCCATGAGCTCAGCTTGATGCTTGACATAACTATAGAGCTGTTGATGGAAGGCATGGTCCAATGAGAAACAGTCATCATTTGTTCCATTTCTAGAATGTCGAGATGATCCTGATCCTTCTCTTTTACAAAAATGTGGGAGAGATGAATAATCCATTATCTGCATTGAAGTTACCAGCCAGATTGTCAGAGCTCTTAACCATACAATCAGCAGAAGCAAAGTCGCGGAGATCAGGACTAACACAAGTATTAGTAATTGTAAGCCTTAACTTCATTACCTCCATAAAACTAAAACAATAAAATCCAGGTCACTATTCCAATGTGAGAGGAGAAAATTAGCAAAGGCTGGTACCATGATAAAAGCACAAACTCGAGGCAAAAAAGTTAAAATCAAAGCCTTAATTCTCAACAAATTAGAATATTTATTTGGTCTTGTAGAATTTTTTGCAATTATTTTTGTCCCATGAATGGAGTGCATGCCTCACACTGGCAGTCAAATTGGATGAAAATTGTAGCTATGCATTTTTGGTCCGCAAACCATGAGGGTTTATGTGGTTTTGTTTAAGTGTGAGGGGGTCGAGAGCAATGGGGCATGGCTTTAATGGTATCACACTATCATCAAACAACAATATTGTTATTCTTGGCGAATTAGAGAAGACCATCTACTTAAAAATAGCAGGATTATCGGTCAATGACATTATGTCATCTCAAATTTGTGGATTCCTCAAGCAGAGATCTCTATAAATTTATTTTGTATAGGCGTACAAAATAATGGAAATTCCAAAATGACATTGGGAATGAGAATGATGCACTTGCACAAAGTAAATATCTCATATTTGAAGAAAAACATGTTTATGAACTAAGGAGTATAAAGACCATGATGTGGAAAAGTTTCCCATACCTTTAATAACTCATCCCTTCCAGAACCTGCCAGCACCTGAACTTTCTTCCTTGTCCTTTCTTGCAAAAGAGGCCTCACAACCTGCAACAGTTATGAGTTTCATGCTGTTGCTAGGTTACATTATTTTGACAAAAAGCAGTGACATCTTTTGCACAAGTAAAGATAGATTCAAACCTTCCAGCATGCCGAAAATATGTAAGGGACATTAACAATATAATATGTATCTGTCTTCTCTGGGTAGTTCAGGTCATCGATGGTAGATATAGCTGTCAATAACTGCAAACAAAGGGTGAAGGCAAAAAATATGAATTCCCAAACAAAGGATTTAGTGGCATGACCTAAATTGGTTCATAAATGTAATAAACACAAGTATCTGAAGAACATTGAATGGGAAGTTGCATGTTTCAGAATCCGCCCGAGCACATAGAGAGTAAGAGTTTAGCATGTATCAGAAAGGAACTCAGAATTTGTGGATATCCAACTAAATGATGTTGTTCTGTACAGGAAATTATAATGGGGTCTTAGATGTTGATGTGACAGATTGAGCTAGAAAATAGTCGATTCTTGGATATTAATGCAGAAGTTGAACTGAAGGGGGATTCATTTGTAACTTTTATTTCTGCCATATAGGTGAGTAGTATGTGGAAAAACCAAAAAACAAAAGGATGACCAAATTTGAGTCGAAATTCAGGACAACTGAACAGTTTACTACATGGAGTTGGCTACTATGTGTTAATTAACAAGCAATGTTGATAGTACCAGGAAAGTTCATAAGGGAAATTTCTCAAGAAAAAGAGGAATTTCTTCCTCATGGTTTTTAAGTGACTTCGTATCAAAAGAAGGTTGGCAATGCAATAAGTACCTTAATTTGGTTCAGTGCAGAAAGCTTTAGACCAGTCATATCCAGAATCTTCACACAGGTGCTGATATGCCGCCCATACTGCTTTGTTGCAGAAGGCTACAATAGAGCAATGAGTCAGTCCACTAGAAATTCTATGGCTATATATATGATTGAACAATCTGAAGTCTGTGGACACAATACTCACCAATATCACGCGGTCCCTATATTCATTCATCTGGATGTGTGACTGAATATAGTAGTGAATCTGTTATGGAAAGAAAATTTGCAAGTAACTATCACAAAGTAAAACAATAACCCATTAATGCATCTGGTAATAGTGAATTTATCCCCTTCTCTCAACTGGTATTCATGCATCTGTAATGATTTATATGTGTTTACAGTAAGTTTTTCTTGGTGCTAAGAAGTATGGAAAGAGTGGAATATAAGCTTAAATGGAACAGTAGTACTAAATACGGAGTACTGTTAAACCATGGATATAAGATGGATCAGATCAAAATGCAGGCATGCACTCTTTTTCCATAACAGCCGCTGTATTTGATGCATCAAAATTGTTACTCTTCAGGAATAACTGGATGCATAATGCAAATGCCTTAGTCTTAAGAAAAGCAAAGATTAAACATTATGCCCTCGTACAACTCAAACTTCTTCAGACATGCAAGGAAAACATATCCTTGCAGTAACGTCCAAAGTCTTACATGACATCATATGATTGTTTACAACACTTGAGTACTCTTAGTTACACAATGTTAACCAAGACTGAGTGAAGTCAAAACAACAGAACATCCTTACAGATGCTTTGTCATATGTGCTTAGTCCTACTCCAACAGCAATGATAGGAAGACCCTGGAAAAATTAACAAGGAAAAATAGAAATCATGACCTGCAAAACATGTGCGTATCATAATCACTATATAAACAAAATATATCAGGTAATGGATTCCAGGACAACAATAGCATTTATTGACAGCCAAAAGAAGTAACTATCATCAAAGGAATACCTCTTTTGAGTAACCTGACATTCCAACAAGCTGTGAATCCCGCACTGCTCTATACAAATCAGCAGGGATGATTGGTTTCTGCATAGAAAAGCAATTAAAATAGTCGATTAAGTAATTTATAAGAAGGACCACATCAAAAAAGTGATATTGTATACAGGGCATGGCCTACAGTGACAATTCATACTCTTCCAAAATTAAGTTGACATTTTAACTCCTAAATCTTCTATAAGTTTATTTGATGTTGCAGTTTTTCATATCCCATGGGAGACATCAAATTTCTGCCAATGATTCCATTTCAGGAATTCAATGTGTCCTTTTCAAGAATCTTGGGGTGAATATAATTGGGCAGAATATGACACTAAATATCCTTGAGTTCAAGTGAACATCATAGATAATCAACTTAGAGTCAAAAAATACGATTGGAAAAGAAATAAAAACTGAACTACTGCTCACAAGCAGGTAATTTTAGGAGAACAAAAAGCACTGTACTTAAACTTCATGCATGCTACAAGCCATAGTCCTTATGATAGACCCTCATTCTTCCACATCCATTGCCAAAGCTGATTACTATTTAATCACACTAATAGTCAAAACATATTAGACAAAACTATTTGTTTCACTTCCACTTACGCAACTTCCTAGATGTAGAACCAGTCGTTAACCTCTTCCAAAATTCTAGTATACGCTAAGCCTAGATAATCGTTCAGTCCAAAGCAGAAGATATGGCATTATGACCTAATCCAGATCGTAATGAATGGACAAGACACCACATCATGTGATCATAGATTACCCAGTAGATGAGAGTCATATTAAGCACAAGCTAAGAACAATACAATTAGCTGGAAAAGAGGACAATATAAACATAATAATGAACCGATGGGCCTTTGGTCTAATTGTACTCCTTGCCTTAGAAAGGTTTTGCTTAAGGGTTCAAGTCCCCCTCCCCAAAAAAATAAATAAATAAACATAATAATGAAGCTTACCGCCAATATTTTGTCGATTCCATTTTGTATTCTCCAGTTCAAAGAATCAACCAGCTGGGAAGTTGCACAATCAGTGAGAAATGAAGATATACCAGTTTGTTCAAATATCTCATCTGAAATCATGGTCTAACCATTTGATGGGCTTTGGCAACATTCCCATCCCTCGCTTTGAGAAACCGCACCAGAGTTTCAGTTGGATATCCTTGATGAATATTCTGGAAATCAAGACAAAAGCTCATACTTGTGGTTAATTGTGTACTAGTCCTCTTGCTCAGTATAATTTTCATTTCCTTCATAACCCTTAAACCTTACAAAATTATGAGCTGAATGTGATGCCGTTCTAACACATAGCATGGAAAAGTAGGATGGTGGGGAAGCAAGGTGAACTATACTGGAAAGTTAGCTTTTCACTTCCAAACTACCTCATGATAATCATTCTTCAAGAGTGACTTGCAGGAAATTTACAACCGATGTGCTTGGTCACTTCAATCACTTTTGAACTGATTTTGTAATTATGGTTTTTGCCCATGCTGGGCTCTAATAATTCAAGATGCTTTAGGTCACTTTATTTTGAACTCCTTTCTGCCGCAAAACCTGTTTGCTTGATCTTGCATCCGATGCTACTTTTTGTTCCATAAATGACAATAAAAACAATTGTTCTGGATATAAGTGTAAAGTACTAACCCAATTAGGCCACAGGGGGCTGGAGCAGTCACATGCATGAGCGGCTATAAACAACTTACCCAAAGAAGGGTACTTCAAATTGCTGAAAGTTCACAGAGTGCCTATAAACTACTGCCCCCAAAGAAGGAGACTTACAAGTTACTGGAACTTTACAGAGTGCTATACACTACTGACCCAAAGAAGGATACTTTGAGTTGCTGGAACTGTGACGAGTGACGAATATAAACTAGAGACTCAAAAAGGGAGTTCAAGTTACAGAAACTCTGGATCTAGATAAACTAAGTCAAAAATATGGGAAAAAAAGTTCAACTAACTGAACTAAGAGAGATCAGTTAGCAACTTCAAACACAATTTCACGAGCCTTCAATTGACAAAGAATTCAGAAGACTCCGGTTATTCAGACTATGAACATCACATTTCAGGATCCACCTAAATTATATCATCAAAACTCAAGATATTGCATCAAAGATTTCAATTTTCAACCCACCAACAAAACATGTCCCAGCTTAAGCCAATTAAAAATTCTAAATCTATTTTCGTTCTTCCTTTGAAAAACCAACACAGAGATCCACAAGCATAGCTTCTGCACTCCAAGAATAAGAATTAAAGCAACTTAGGCTTGATAGGAAACTGATTAACCAGCCCGTTTCCACAATAAATACAAAAAGACTGACTAAATTTTCAGTGCAATTAGATTCCCATAAAATAAGTTGAAGATCAAATCAATACCACAAAACCCATTACGAATAACTTCGTGGGCCAAGATCAAATTCAACTTTACCAAACATTTATTTTTTTATAATCTAAATGAGACAGATCTAGCATGTAGATTTTCATACATAGATGGCAAGAGAGGCTGACCTTGAAGGTGTTTTTGAGCGGCTCATCGACTTTAAAAACAAAGAAAACAGAGGAATTGTTAGTGTTTTGTAGTTTCAAACAAGAAAAAAGACCAAATCAGATAAATGTGAAGTGAGAGTTCTAAAGAAGCTGACTTTCTTCCATCAAAGTGTGGAACTGCTTGATTATTTCTTGTGTTATGATCACCATTTTCCCCCACACTTACTTTACCAACAGATTCAAACCCAGATTTGAATTTCTGACTTTCTTCTTTTTAGGCCTCACAATTTAAAACCTTTTGGGCATATATATACATATATATTATATATATACACACTGGAGAGAGAGAGAGAGAGAGAGAGAGAGAGAGAGAGAGAGATGGGTGGCCCTTGTGAAAATTTGAGCCTTTTCCCTCTCTCCTCTGGAAATGAAACTACTGCTTTCTTCATTTATGAATGACTGAAAAACGAAAATACCAAAGCATTGAAATCACAAATATCCTATAGATGAGAATATGCTGCAATTATACAATTTAATTACTTAAATACTTTATCTGTTCTTAAATATCTGTCGTTAAAATTTTTTACACATGAATTAACGAAACTATTAAATAACTCTAATATGAGTAAAAAATAATTACATAAAATTAAAATATTTTTATTCAATACGTATTATGAAGGAAATGAATATAAAAGACACTTAACCTCCACCTAATCTAATGTATTGAAAAATTAAGGATAAATTTGGAAGAAAAAAATATTATTTATACTTTGATTTCATTAAACGACAGATATTGTGGAACAAAAAAAATTGTATAAAACAACAGATATTTAAGAACAAAGAAAGTAATAAAAATGATATATCACTATTTAATATTCTTTATTTTGGATAAAATATATTTTTGATCTTTAAAGTTCCTAATTTGTATCTATGTTGTCTAATCTCAAACATTTGTCAAAAAATTGTTAACGGTTCTAGTCACGCACTAATCACGTTGGATCAAATAAACACAAACTAAGAATTTTAAAGACCAAATAGACGCAAATTAACAAATTTGGAGACCAAATAAACACAAAATTACGAATCACGTGATTGATGCGTAAATAAACAATTTTTTTAACGAACGTTTGGATTGAACAACATAGATACAAATTAGGAACTTTATGAACTAAGTAGACACAACTAAAAGACTAGAGATTAAATAGACACTAAACGTATATTTTGGGGATCAAAAATGTATTTTACCTTTCTTTAGATGAAATTTTTGATATGTTGGTTTTTCAATAATGTATTTTACCTATTTTACCTTTCTTTAAATGATACCCTTTATTTACATCACGCGAATCATTATTGTAATGAATATATGCAAAATTATGAATTTAAAAGTTTTTGATTATTCGATAAGGTTAAGTCTCTGTTTGGTACGATGAAAAAATAGAAAAATAAAAAGTTGAAATGATAAATAAAACATTATGTTTGGTAAGGAAGGAAAATATAAAGGATTGGAAAAATGGATGGATAATTTTTTTTTCAACTCATAAAAATCAATCACTCTAAAATCGAAAGAAAAGTACGAGCATGGATTCAATTAAGTGAAAATAGAATATTAACGTCAAATTTTTTTATTCAAAGTTTATGTGAGTCAACACGAATACGACACGAAAATAAATTAATCAACTCGAAACGACACGATTAATTAAATGAGTTGAGTCAGATTTGATTAATGGTCAACACGAATCTGCAATGACTTGATACTAACTTGACACGACACAACACGATTTGATTGTCACCCCTAATTTTAGCAAGCACAAAAAAAAATTAATTATTTTTATTTTTCATATATTCTACCAAACACAAATAAAAGAAAATGTATCATTTTTACTATTTTTCTTTAAAAGATAGAAAGTGTATCATTTATACTTTTTATCATTCTTATCAAACAGAGCATAAGTGTCTTGTTGAATCGTGTATAAATTTAGTGAGATTTGATTAATGTTATCACTCAAAAAGTGATAAGTTTTTTTGTAAAAAAAAATTAAAGGTGCTAAGGAAAATTTGAATGCAAATCCTACATACATGTAAGAGCATGTTCAACTCACTCTCCATTTTCTCTCTTTTAATTATTTTAGATAGTTAAATACGAAAAAATAATCTCCAACGATCCAACCTACTCTATATCCCACTCTTTATTTCTCATTTCACCAAAATAACTCTCTAAACGTGAAGAGTCATTTAGTCTCTTTAAATTATCTCTCTCTCTCACTATATATATATATATATATATATATGTTTTATTATCTTTAAATTATTGAAAGTTAATGAAAATTAGGTGAAATAGTTAATTAAAATAGAAAATATTATTCAAGTGAATTTATAAAAGTGATTATCTAAAATAGAGAATATAATATTTAAATATATTTTAATTAATTATTTTTAAGAGTTAAATTAGAGATGCTCTGAGATCAACTTTTACGATAGAGAATGCTTTTAGTCGGAAGCAATAGTGCCCATTTAGTGCTATTAAATTATTCTTATTATTGTTATTGAGTGCAATAAGTCAACTTTATTGGATGTTTAATATACTTCCTATTATTTCTTTCTTTTCTTTTTACTTTTTTCCCCTTCCTTTTTGTCAACTCAATCATTATATAGTACATCACTTTTACACCTGGAATGCTAAGAAATTCCATGAAAAAGTAGATGATAAAAGTTTGAATTTGAACTAGATTTAAATCTAAGGTTATTTTTGAGGATTAATTATAATTTGTCCTTTTAAATTATGTCTCTTATTCCAATCAGCTCTTTATAATTTTTAATACTAAAATTTGTTTCCTCTAAGTTTCAAGCAGACTAAATTGACCGAAAACCGTGGTTGAACACATAAAAATACTATTATACCCCTGTCTTGTACATTATTTTTTATATATTTTTGTAAGATACCAATTATATCCCTAAAAAATAAAAGAATAAAAAAATTAAGAAAAAATATATCTGTTCAACCCAAAATCAACACAATGTTCATCTCCGCCTCCACCCAACACTAACACACATGCATACACATACACACTCTTTTTAGGAGTAATTGTATCTTTTCAACAAACACAGAAATCACATGAATTGCTCACATTTACCTCGCCCATCTATGCTAATAAGTTTAAAGTAGCCTTAAGCATCATTTCAATATTAATTAAATTAAATTAAATTAAATTAAATACTAATTGGATTAAATAGAATGCTTTCTATAAAAAAATGTATCAAACCAAATGTTAATAAAAAAATAATATTAATTTGATAAAAACTAAATATTAAATTCAAAAAAATTGAATGTTAATTTTATAAAATTGAATGATCATTTGATATTGATTTGATGAAATTGAATGTTAATTTAAAATTTAATCAAAAAAATGATGTTAATTTGATAAATTGGATATTACATTGATGAAATTAAATGTTAATTTGGAGTTAATTTGATAAAATTCAATATTGATTTGGTGTTAATTTTATAAGATTGAATATCGATTTGATGAGATTGAATATTAGTTTCCTGAAATAAAATGATAATTTTATAAAATTTAAGTTCAATTTCATGTTAATTTGGTAAAACAATTGTATTACTTTGATAAAATTTATAGTTAATTTGGTGTTAAATAGATCAAATTGAATTCGATGACGTTTAATGGAATTTTAATAAAATTGAATGCTAATTTGGTGTTAATTTCATGAAATTGAATATTAATTTAATAAAATTTAATGTTAATTAGCTGAATTGAATGCTAATTTGATGAATGTGAATGTTAATTTAGCAAAACTTAATGTTAATTAGATACTAATTTGATGACATTAAATATTGATTTAGTGTCAAATTAAATATTAAAAGGTCAATTTAATGTTAATTTGATAAAACTATAGATTATTTTTGACTTATTTTGAGTAAGGGGAATTAAGTAAAATAGAAGTTCTAGGAAGAGTAATTTAATAAAATTACGTATTCTATTAGGGAACAAAAACTAACAGGGAGTATATAGTAATATTTTAAAAACTAAAAAGAATATCAATAAAATATGACTTAAAATCCAGATATATTCACTAAAATTTACATTTATAAGTGCATTTTGATTAGTGTCAACGTGGCCATGTCCAAATTTTATAAGTACAAAATAAAAATAAAAATAAAAATAAAAAATTGATGATAAATAAGGTATTAAATATGGGTCCTTTAATAATAAAAAAGATGTCACAACACGTGGTTGGTCGGTCATGTGTGTCATTTGTCAAGTAGCCAACAGACAACACTTGTAATTTGGTAGCAACCCAACTAAATTCTAACCTCAGCAATCAAAGGCTTCAATCTGTACCGGTGGCTGGCATGCTTGGGTTCAAAGGCTAGTGTGCGTGCAACATCCTGTACAATATAAAAAACGAGAAAAGATCTCTTTTTTGGTGAATTCGAGTGAGTCGGTTGAGCGACCAAACACGCTGCTTGGAACAGCCTGCGAGGTCCGATGGTAGCCTGGAACGGCAATGGGAGACCCTGGGAACGGAAGAACGATCCAGTAAGGCTGAAAGAGGTTTCTGGAACAAAGAAGAACAAGTTAGAAGGGCGCCGGAGTGTTTTTCGGCGTATCCCCTCCGACGATCTAGTCAGTCTTCGAGAGAGAGAGAGAGAGGAAGGAGAAAACACTGAGTGTGTATTGTAGTAAAGAGTCTTTTGTTGCATACCCGTCTTGCCTTTTGCAAGGAGTATTTATACCTCAAAATCTCATGATTGCTGTCAGTGTAGTCAGTAGGTGATCATTAGGTACAGCCAGTGTACGCACTGATTCTGATGAGGAATGTCTTCTCTTCTTAACTGGTCGGGGTCCCGAGCAATCAATGCTGGGTCATCGGGATGCCGACGGTACACTGTACTCCTCTCGGGGAGGATGCAATAAATACTCTGTATTAGGAGCATTTATTGTCTTTCATCTCCGAGCCTTACCGCATTGAATGCGGTCTCATCAAGGGAATAGTGTAATTAATAGCTTGCTTTCCCAAGTCACGTGTCAGCAACGACATGCAGTTTCTCTGTCTTCGATGTGATATCATATGCCACGCGTCCATCCCTTATTGGCTGTGAGCCCTGCATTTCAGTACGTTCTGACACTAATAGTGTAAGACGAGGTCATGATGAATAGCCTAGACTAGACTAGGCTAATGACCTGTACGTCAATAGCTTATCCTGGAGTAGAGGAAGCGTCCAAGACGGGGTACATCTCGGCACCGAGGAAAGGCTCATCTCGGAACCGAGGGAGGTATGCCGACCGAGGTACCATATCAGACCGAGGCCTCGTGTCTGTTGTAAAACATACTGAATGCATGATCC